CACAGGCTCCATCCCTTGCCCAGGGACTGTGGCAGGACCAGGCAGGTCCAGGAAGGGGAGAAGCCCCACAGGCTCCATCCCTTGCCCAGGGACCACGGCAGGACCAGGCAGGTCCAGGAAGGGGAGAAGCCCCACAGGCTCCATCTCTTGCCCAGGGACCATGGCAGGACCAGGCAGGTCCAGCCCAGCCCAGCCCAGCCTGGCCCAGGAAGGGGAAAATCCCTGCAGGCTTCATCTCCTGCCCAGGAACCATGGCAGGACCAGCCCAGCTCAGCCCAGGAAGGGGAAAATCTCTGCAGGCTCCATCTCCTGCCCAGGAACCGTGGCAGGACCAGCCCAGCTCAGCCCAGCCTGGGAAGGGGAAACTCCCTGCAGGCTCCATCTCCTTCCTGGGGACTGTGGCAGGACCAGCCCAGCCCAGCCCAGCCCAGGAAGGGGAAAATCCCTGCAGGCTCCATCTCCTGCCCAGGAACCGTGGCAGGACCAGCCCAGCCCAGCCCAGCCCAGGAAGGGGAAAATCTCTGCAGGCTCCATCTCCTGCCCAGGAACCGTGGCAGGACCAGCCCAGCCTGGCCCAGCCTGGGAAGGGGAGAAGCCCCACAGGCTCCATCCCTTGCCCAGGGACTGTGGCAGGACCAGGCAGGTCCAGGAAGGGGAGAAGCCCCACAGGCTCCATCCCTTGCCCAGGGACCATGGCAGGACCAGCCCAGCCTGGGAAGGGGAAAATCCCTGCAGGCTCCATCCCTTGCCCAAGGACCACGGCAGGACCAGCCCAGCCCACCCCATCACTCCTGAAATGAGAACCATCTAAATCTCTCTCACCTTCCACAACCAAAAACCAGAGACAAATTCCCAAGTTTAGCTCTGAGGGTGTTGTTCACAGGTTGATCTCACTTTCCAATGATCAAAACTGCTGTCAGTTCTCAGAAATGAACAGTTTTTGGAGAAAAAACCCCCATCAGCTTCCAGCAGCCTAAACTTCCTGGGGTGTTTGTTGCTTAAATGCCAATCCATCGCACCTTTGGTGTCACTGTGATGTCACCTGTGACATCCCAGTGATGTTACCAGAGGTGAGAGTGGGTGGGTTCTACTCAGTTCCATTAAAATCCAAGGGGGTTTTTTTTCTGGGAGAAAGAATTTTCCGATTCTTTGGGAGCAGAAGGAAAGAATCCCCAAATTTTCCAAGCCTTGGATGTGGCCGTTGTCACCTGTGATGTCACCGCACAGCTCGGGGAGGCGCGGGTTTGGCCACTCAACTCCATAAAAATCCAGGAATTTGGGGATTTTCCCACTTTTTGGGTGCAGTTCGAACCCTTGGCTGTGCTGTTGTCTCCATGACGTCACCCCAAATGACGTCACACCAGATGACGTCACCCCAAATGACGTCACCCATATTACATCACCACCGTTCAAGGGCGGGAAACCCCCAAACTTGTTGTTTTTCCAGATGGATTTTCCTGCTTTTTTGGGGATTTTTAGGAGCTATTCCTGGGGTGTTTTTCCCACTTTTTTTTCTCCCCCCAATCCCAGCTGGCGCTGGAGCCGGACTCGCCCTGCACGTTCCTGTCTGCAGGAGAGGACGCCGTGGTCTTCACCATCGACCTGCGGCAGGACCGGCCCGCCTCGTGAGTGACCCGAAAAACGGGAATTCTGAGGGGAAAACGGGAAATTCTGGGCATAAAACGGGAATTCTGAGGGGAAAACGGGAAATTCCGGGTGGGAAATGGGAATTCTGAGGGGAAAATGGAGAATTCCGGGTGGGAAACGGGATTTCTGAGGGGAAATTGGAGAATTCCGGGTGGGAAACGGGAATTCTGAGGGGAAAATGGAGAATTCCGGGTGGGAAATGCAGAGTTCTGGGTGTAAAACAGGAATTCTGAGGGGAAAATGGAAAATTCTGGGTGGGAAATGCGGAATTCCAGGCATAAAACGTAAATTCTGAGGGGAAAATGGAAATTCTGGGTGGGAAATGCGGAATTCTGGGTGTAAAACAGGAATTCTGGGGGGAAAACTGAAAATTCTGGGTGGGAAATGCGGAGTTCTGGGCGTAAAACAGGAATTCTGAGGGGGAAACTGAAAATTCTGGTTGGGAAATGGGAATTCTGAGGGGAAAATGGAAAATTCTGGGTGGGAAATGGAAAATTCTGTGTGGGAAACGGGGAGTTCTGGGTGGGAAATGGGAATTCTGAGGGGAAAATGTAAAATTCCGGGTGGGAAATGCGGAATTCTGGGTGTAAAACAGGAATTCTGGGGGGAAAGCTGAGAATTCTGGGTGGGAAATGGGAGTTCTGAGGGGAAAATGTAAAATTCTGGGTGGGAAATGCGGAGTTCCAGGCGTAAAACGGGAATTCTGAGGGGAAAATGGAAAATTCCGGGTGGGAAATGCAGAGTTCTGTGTGTAAAACAGGAATTCTGAGGGGAAAATGGAAAATTCTGGGTGGGAAACGGGAATTCTGAGGGGAAAATGGAGAATTCCGGGTGGGAAACGGGAATTCTGAGGGGAAAACGGGAAATTCCGGGCGTAAAACGGGAATTCTGAGGGGAAAATGGAGAATTCCGGGTGGGAAATGCGGAATTCTGGGTGTAAAACAGGAATTTTGGGGGGAAAACTGAAAATTCTGGGTGGGAAATGGGAGTTCTGAGGGGAAAATGTAAAATTCTGGGTGGGAAATGCGGAGTTCCAGGCATAAAATGGGAATTCTGAGGGGAAAATGGAGAATTCCGGGTGGGAAATGAGGAGTTCTGGGTGTAAAATGGGAATTCTGAGGGGAAAACTGAAAATTCTGGGTGTAAAATGGGAATTCTGAGGGGAAAATGGAAAATTCTGCGTGGGAAATGGGAATTCTGAGGGGAAAATGAAGAATTCTGTGTGGGAAATGAGGAGTTCTGGGCGTAAAATGGGAATTCTGTGGGGAAAATGGAAAATTCTGGGTGGGAAATGCGGAATTCTGGGTGTAAAACAGGAATTCTGAGGGGAAAATGGAAAATTCTGGGTGGGAAATGGGAATTCTGAGGGGAAACCTGAAAATTCTGGGTGGGAAACGGGGAGTTCTGGGCATAAAATGGGAATTCTGAGGGGAAAATGGAAAATTCCGGGTGGGAAACGGGGAGTTCTGGGTGTAAAATGGGAATTCTGAGGGGAAAATGGAAAATTCTGGGTGGGAAATGGGAATTCTGAGGGGAAAATGGAAAATTCTGGGTGGGAAACGGGGAGTTCTGGGTGTAAAACAGGAATTCTGGGGGGAAAACTGAGAATTCTGGGTGGGAAATGGGAATTCTGAGGGGAAAATGAAGAATTCTGTGTGGGAAATGCGGAGTTCTGGGTGTAAAACAGGAATTCTGAGGGGAAAACTGAAAATTCTGGGTGGGAAATGGGAATTCTGAGGGGAAAATGGAAAATTCTGCGTGGGAAATGCAGAGTTCTGGGTGTAAAATGGGAATTCTGTGGGGAAAATGGAAAATTCTGTGTGGGAAATGGGAATTCTGAGGGGAAAACTGAAAATTCCGTGTGTAAAATGGGAATTCTGAGGGGAAAATGGAAAATTCCGGGGGGGAAATGCGGAATTCTGGGTGTAAAACAGGAATTCTGAGGGGAAAATGGAAAATTCTGCGTGGGAAATGGGAATTCTGAGGGGAAACCTGAAAATTCTGTGTGGGAAACGGGGAGTTCTGGGCATAAAATGGGAATTCTGAGGGGAAAATGGAAAATTCTGGGTGGGAAACGGGGAGTTCTGGGTGTAAAATGGGAATTCTGTGGGGAAAAAAATGGGATTTGGGGTGGGAAATGGGGATTCCATCAATCTGAAGCAGGACTTGCCC